GAAGGAATGTACATATGCGTTGGTATACGCGGCCCCAAAGGTACTGGTGCCTCTCTGAACGGTTAAGCTGAAGACGGATATTTGAGGCCAGGGATAAATCACATGAAGTTGTTGGCTATGTTCAAATTCCATTTCGAGATCGAAGCGTCTCAACCCCTTCACGCTATCGTTTCCATCTCGCTCAGCCCATTTGAGAGACGGTGCACGATATTTCCGTGGGTCATTGTCCGCTTGATATAGCCAGCTTTTCCCGATATCATTCTTCTCAGAGACCTTCTGGACAATGTTGTGAAATGTCTTGTTGGCTAAGAGAAGGGACAGCCGTGTGTACCTTGCTTCGCGTGACAAGCTGCGTGATGTTTTGCCTTTTATTGATATCAGAACAAAGGAGAGAGAGATGGAGGGTATATTCGAATACTAACGAGATGTGAGAACATGGTGGACTTCGGCCATGTTTTCCAATGTACTGTAATGGTCTATAATAAGTCGGGGGCGCAACGCCTCTGTAATAATTGGAAAGATAATTTCTACAGGAAAGGCTCCCTGGATGACTTCTCCAGAAATTTTTGATTTGGTTGCTTTTTGCGCCTTCCTGAGAAAAGACGCCCATGATATGTGGTGAACCGATCCTTCTGTACCTGTCTTGTCCGGTTTGCTGGTGTTTGTTTGAGGTACAGAGGACATCCTTGTCTTAAAGAGAAACTGAAAGGGCGCGCGTCTAGAAAAGACACGTAGCGAGAGGCTGGTTGGGGCCAAGGTTGAATTGTGTGGCGAAGAGTGACACGAACCCTCCCATCTCCTATACCAGTATGCCGGCCCAGTTTTATTGGTGAGCCATTCTCTAAAGGATCAAATATCCTCATCTGAAGAGTCTTTCTTCGCGCCGTGTTAATGTGATGGAAACCACTCTTCAATGGTCGGTATTCTAAAGTCTGGGTAAACTGGCAGAGTTTTACACTCATTCCAGATACCTGGTCACTTTACGCGCTGGAAAACAGAGATACCACTCTATTCTGGTATTCAGACTTTCAACCAGCTCTACAGATCCCAAGCCCATCCAATCCGACCAATCCGATGGAAGGGTTGACAATGAGCAAAGCGAAACGAGCCAGAGTACGATACAGGATGGGAAGGAGCTTCAAATATATGCAATGGAAGCACAGTGTCCACATCTAGGTGCAGATTTATCTCATGCTGAGATCGAGGAGTATGAAGACGAGCTGGTAGCCGTCTGTCCC